GCCAGTGATACTCTGGCAGGGGAATATCTTTACCTGTTAGAATCCTTTGATTTTGTTTTTCACCCCACTGGGCCATCCCATTAAAAGGGCCACACTTCTTGATCTTGTTATATCCTATGGCCTGAAGATTGACAGTATGGAACTTATTAATACTTGTGTATCTCATCACTAGTGTTACGTTTGTACATCGATTTTAAACCGGCCCCCATTTGCTCTCGCATTATTAACTTAACAACAGCTGGCAAACCTTCGAATGCATTCTCATCTCTCTTTTATGCTTGCCCACACCTGACACTGAACATCTGGTGAACTCCTTTAAAAACCTCTGCCTTGCAGAATTGGATTAAATTGCCCCAATAAGAACCAGAATCATATCGGTGTCAAATCTGCCGCCAAGGTTTAATCACACCACCCGCACTCTAAAGCGGTATGTAAAGTGGAGTGCAAATGGAAAGCCAGCAAACTTAATGTTTATTATGAGCACATGGAGGATGAAATAGAACACTGTAGTGAAAGAGGCACAGGCAAACTATTTTTCCACTTTGATCCATCAGAATGTCCAAAACGCAAAAGTGCTTTTGACCGAATTGTGGGAGCCCCATCCAACATTATTTGCATGCATCACCTGACCAATGAATAAAAAGGATCCATGACTGACAGCAGACAACCATGTAGCCTGCCTGCACCTGAGCCCTCTGAGCCCTCAGTTTGCATGCCATCCTTCAGCTGTTTTTCAGCAGTGACTCTACCTGAGCTGAACTCAATGATATTGTTAAGTGTATGAAGCCATCTACTTGCCCCTCAGATGTGGTTCCCACCAGACTACTGAATGAGACTTTGCTTACTCTTGGTCCTTTCATTCTAGCAATTATAAATAGCTTCTTGACTTCTGGCGTCATCAGATATATTGCGATATGTTATTGTTAACAATGACCAATCATGGATAAAGAGGAGATCAAGGTCCAGTTAGCAGATTCTCCTGCTGATCATTGTTATAATAAGAGCTGTAGTTTGTGTGCAAATCAGTGTTTTACCATGGAAAAGACTCTCAACGCTCTATGCTGTCTGTTTTGTAGTTAGACCCAAAGTGTGGAGTAACCATTGATAAGTGAGCAGCTGTTCACAATACAGGACATTCTTTGTTTTGATCAAGTTTCAGGTCTACCAGTGTTTGACCACATCATCTCTCCTGCAAGGGAGGAGGAATTGTGCAGGGAGTTTGGAGCAGATATGTTGTGACTGTAGCTGTGTTAGTGAATCTGTTACATTTCTATTCCAGTATGTATGACCATTAGGCCTTTATCCACAGGAGAGACTGGAAGAGGCAGCTGGATTGATAATGCAGCTCATAATAACAACCACAAGGCTTACACCATTTCTATTACAATCCACGTTATCCAAATATCTACATCTTCATCTTCAATGAGCAGCATCGCTCTGATCTAAGACAAAATCCATGTCCTCTGTGTTTCACCCACAGTCATGGTTTAGGCCCACCTTCAAAATAGCTGAAAAGCCCCTGAATCTGATTTCATATGTCAGTTGAATCACTGATTGTGACAAAGTGACACGGGATAACATTATGGCTGGATAAAAACTTTGGCAAACCAAGTCTTTTCTCTAAATCACAGAACAGGGACTGGAATGGAAGGTAGATGGACTGAAATCGGAGCAACACTTTTCAGTTTGCTGCTATAATGCTTTCAGTTAAATACATTCAATATGCATCTATGGTATTGAAGTATTTTATTCATTGTTAAAAAGAGCAACACAAAACCTTATGCTGCCCTTCAACATCAATCAATCCTGTTTTCTATCTGCCTTTACAATATTACTGTTTTTAGGATTTTCAAAATTGATTATTCTGGATTTTGTAATGGCTGCATAAAAACTGTCTGATGGAAACATTCTCATTGTCCATCTAGTGAAGCTGAGACATCTTTAAAACAAATTCTCAAAACTGGGCTTTGTGTTATTATTAGCACA